ATGCTGCGAGACGATTTTTCCAACTTTCTGTCGAACTCACCCCACCGATCGGTCCATATCAGGGGGAGATTTATATTCTCGAAGAATCAATCAAAACCCGCAAAATATCCGTCCAGAGTTCTCCTTTCTTTCCGGCCCTTCGACATTTCCGGCCCACAGGGGAGGGAAAAATTCCAGCAATTATCCACGACTCGGTTCCTCGGGAGGAAAAGTCGCTTTTCCAAGTTCCTGATTCACGGGGAAACTTCGAAACTCAACTTGGTCACATTTCTGCCATCGAGCGCGAAAAGGCGTTCCGCCCTGTTAAGAAACTCACCCTTTCGCCCCATCCACCTGAAGGGGGATTTATTTTACAAAAAGTCCGCTTACCGCGTTGTGGATTTTTCAGCCTTTTTCAGCTGATTTTTATTCCGACCGTGGTCGGGAATTTTCATTCCCCATAATGAAGGGTGCACATAGGACCCGTAATTCAGGGTTATACGGGAAGTGCGAAACGATGTTTCCGACCCCTCTTACTTCGTTTCACTTGGACACCATGGGCACCATGGTCGGATCCGGCCCATGATTGGGAAGGTGTCGGAACCCTGCACTATCACCATGGACCTGCGAGCCCAATTTCCGGATCCTCTTCTTCCTCGGATCGGATTTGACTCCCGAAGTCTGGATCAGTGAGATAATTGACGAGGGAAAATCCGGGAAATCCAGGCCTAATCCTTTCCTCTAGCGCTTTTTTATCCCCCGTGGTGGTCATCAGCCTTACAACTAATAATACAGATTTACTGCATTTACCCATTTTCTTTCCCTGCAATTAATGCTCCACGTAAAATCCACATTATTTAGAATATTATATGAACATTTTCGTCTAATTAAATTTGTTCCAATTTTGTCGTATAATTAAATTCCCACGTCAATTTTCCGTTATTTTCTAGGCGACACCGACACTGATACGAGCTTAATCGTTGGCTTGGCACAGTTCAGAGTCTAAGTTTTCATTTTATACGACAATTGAAGCTGCGTGTTAATTCTTTATTATTTAATACGTGACGTGAACAGTGATTCGAGCTCAGTCGATAAGTCGGCCATCTTCATATTTGGTCGATGAGCCTTCAATTTCTCATTAATCCTGCCATTCGTTCCACTCCTATGTACTCGATCCATGTAATCGCGCTGCCGAAGTTGGTAGTATCAACTTGACAATTTAGCACCCCTTGACGTCGTCTAGCAAACTTCCGGGGTGCGTTGACAGAGGAAGTGGAGGGTGTAAGCCCGGCAGCAGCAGGTGGCACCGGAAGTTCGAGCTTCCTCTAATGACAGCGAACCACACGAGGATAACGTTGACGGATCTTGTCTCGAAACCCAACCGTGAAAAATGATAGGAAGATGAAGCGACTTTTTTTTTCCCCGATTTTCCTAGAAATTAATCTCCAAAACTGCGAATAGCATCAAATTTTCTCGAGGAAAATTGAGAAAAAAAATCCAGACTCAGCGCTTCAAACCTTAAAAATCATTCGATAAAAGCGCAAGGAATAAGTAAAATGGCCAAAGAGAATATTTTCGGCGAGTACATTGATAAGGTGCTTCCGATGCCGAGTTTTATTAGATCGAGTCTAACATTTGTTTCTAGATAACGAAAGTTCCGATTGTGGTTTTTAGTTTCTCTCTCCTTATGAATGTAACAAAATATGGAGACGGGAAATGCTCTTTCGTGAATTTTATGTGATGAGTCCAAACAATTGGCTTTTATTATTTCTGGGCTAATTATAAAATCACTTTCGCGGCTTGTTTATTCCCTCGGCGATCGCTCAGCAGTCGGGCCCTTTGAGGATTATTACCGTGGAAGAGGAAAAAAGAAAATTAATATCCGTTTCGTAACAGGATTATTCCGGAGCAACCGCCTTAAAAATTCGGAGAGAATTTTAATTTCCGCCATAATGGTACTTTTCCCTCTCGCAACAATTTTTTCATACTCCCAGACTTTAAGGTTATTACTGTAGTTAAGTACCGAAGACGTAAAGAAGGCTTTAAGTATTTTTCTTCAAAGTTTCACGAGACCACCTCTTGAGCATTGAAAGTGCACTCACCATTAAAATTGATCAAAGACCAGGATGCAGTAAAGTGTAAAAACGGTTTTCAGAGACCTAAGAGTCTTTCCTTCTTGAGCAACATCTCCTTCTTCCACCTTAATTGTAAAGAATTATACGTGTACACATCCATTCTTTCATATTTCATGTAACCTCGAATCCACCGGAGAGAATTCCGAAAATATTTCTCGGCCAAAATAGCTTTTGCCATAAAAATTGCAAAATGACCAGTCATTTGATTTTTACAATTCTCCTCAATTTTTCGCGTTACTGGGAAAAACATTCAGAACTTGCAAAGATTTTTTTGTATTATTTTCAGCACCGTCTTAAAATATGTGTGGACATAATTCCGTTGCAAGAAAAAAAAAAATGCATTAAGAGGACCTAAAGCCGGAAAACGTTATGCAAGGAACAAAGCTTTCGCATTTAGTTCTCGAGCTTAATTAGCAGTTTTGCATATTACTCTTCAGGGTACTTAATTTGCGAAGAGGAGGTAATAACTCTTCAAATACCAAACCGGACACGTTTCCATGTTTTAAAATGATTTTTCATGTCAACGAAGACCTTAAATTAGGGCTCATCTTTTATTTCTAAGAAATCCCGAACAATGTGTTAATTACTCCAATCCGTTTCTCCATCTTTCTCGGCAATTAATCTTTCACCGTGAGTTCTCGTAGAGGCGGAAACTCCATTGAGGAAGACTACCTCAGAAAATGTACTCGCGATTTCCTTGAAAGCCCGGGAAAATAGAGAGCGGAAACAAAGGGCCGGAAAATGCATTAAGAGGACCAAAAGCGTCGTACACGGGGAGCAATCCGATTACTCTTGATTACAGTGTTTAATTAATGACGACTCGCACACGCAACCTTTTTCGCAAGTTTGAATAACGCCGGACAAATGACCGCGATTTGTACGGTGAAATTTGATAAATTTTTCGTCTCAAAAAACTGCCGAAAAAGAATTCACAGTCATAAGAAAAAAAATTTCATACTTGCAGCAACAAAGGTGAACCTTTGAAAATGGGCCAGAAGAAGTTTTCTCCAAAAACATTTTTGCTATGGTTCCCATAATAACAATAAAAATCATCGAGTTTTTCGTTAAAACGTATTTTATGATAATGATTGAAAAGTAATACGGAAGTTAATTGTAGCAATACCACTGCACAGTACAATCGAGTTTCCACGACTGAAATGAAACGAAGTGAAACGAAAAAGTAAAGAAACGAACCCTTGGAAATTTATTTCAACCCCTTAAAATTGTTTCTTTTATTCTGGCCCGTTTTTTCCTCCCTTAAAACTTTAATCTTGCGTGGAATAAAACATTGAAGATATTCTCTCCTCTCGAAAAACCATGCTAATGGAGTCATGAATAGTTGAGTACTTTCCCCCAGCCATAAAAATGACGAACCGACAAACCGGCCACTCTGGTGACTTTAAAGGAAAATCCCGGGTACCCTAGAGCGGAGCTCTGAATTTCCTGGTCGTCCTAAAGCACGTCCCGGAAAGACAGTAACCCACGTGGATCTCTATCAGTGAAAAATAGGGCCGATGGACGCTTATCCGTTTTCGCGTCCGACCACCAGATCGGCTATACATCAAGCAGTCGACGGAGAAGAGCAGCGAGACTCGAAAGATCTCGTTCACTCCCATAAATCGTCCTTTATTTCGTTTCAATCCGAGCAGATCCCATTTTCCCCGTTTCCGAATCCGCGTCCGACATTTTCGAGGTTCCCCGAATCCACCGATTGGCGAAATTAATAATTAGAGGTCGAAATTAGAATCAATAATTAGAGACCGAGATGAGGATTTATTAATTAAAAATTCCCCGGAATTTTTAATATCTACTAAAAATATTACTGAAGTTCCGGGGAATTTTTAACATGTATATACGTCTATTTCCTGCATTTACAAGCTCGGTATGTTTCTTTACAAGTGGTATCTAGGATGAAGTGCATACTTAGTTTGGCGTATAATGCTCCTCGATCAATCAGGCGGTGGAGTGGTGCCAATACGGCAAAGTGCCCGCTTTACCTCCTTTTACTTCAATTGACAAACTATTTACGTTCGAGATATCTCGAAAGTAAATATTTAGAAACGGAGAAAAATAAGGGATTAGACAAAAGAATTGTCTAAATTAGAGGAGGACGAATTAATGAATTGTAAAATATTCCATGCTAAGTATTAATGAGTTATAAATTAATTAAAAAATATTAATGAATTATGAAATACTCGACGATGTCGATCGATGACCCGAAGTAAAGGATAATTTATCATCGAGGTCCTTTTATCGAGGGCACTTCTATGTAACGTTATGTAAATTGAACCTGCTGTTTTTTTTGTTTTTTTTTTAATATGGGGCTGAATATAGAGCTTAGAGTTTCAAAGGACGTTTCCCATATATTCGTGAGAATTTCCCTAGATTAACCTAACTCGAGTAATGGACGCCCCGTTTTCCGGTCCATGAGAGGTCCTGGAGGACCTCGGTAAATCGAAGTACCTCGGTGAACGGCACTTCATATTTTAAATATTGCCCAGGCATTCCCAAAATCCCCGAAAGAAGGATTTATTCGAGATAATCTCTCCTTTTCGCGTACCTGAATATTCCCGGAATTATGACGATTTATTTGAGGTTATATGTGTGAAATAATTATGTTTTGAATCAATGAAATATTTCTTCTTACTATACGATTCAAAATCTCTTATTAAATTCACGCGATTCGTTCCGAACGACCGCATTCGGTAAATTCTCAACGAGTTTCCATTTTCATGCTAAAAAGCGTCTCAAGGGACGCCTCAAAATTCTTCGCGTATTTTCTTGAGGCCCTCAAGAAATTCCCAGCCAATTTCGTCGTCGAACCTTTTCAGACCGATCGAACTGACCGTACGTCACATCCGGATCTAGGACACGAGGCGAAAATACGAATAACGATGAACAAAGTGGGCCTGGTACGAGCCAGTACCTCGAACAGGAGCTGAGGAGCCATGGAATGCCGTATCACCGTTAACACTCGATAGTCGATCAGCCAATCGACTATTTCCGGCATATCGGGACCTTCGAAAGCCCCGGAAAAAACGCGAGTGTCGACTGGTGCCACTTTTCAAAGAATATTAACGGTTTTGTGTGTGATCTTTCATTGCCTTTTCGGCTTCTGCGGCCGCCGAAGAGATTCCAAGATGGCGGACGCCGAAAGCGCCGCGAAAGAATATCCGAATCGAGATGTCTTCGTGCCCCCGGAAAAAGAAACGCAGACGGAAGTTCAGGGAACGCAGGAGACGCAAACGGAAGGGTGAGTTTTCCAAAATCGACATTTCTTAACAATAAATTGATTTTTCACCATTTTTTTTCAGAGTATAAGAGATACGAGGAAGTAACGATGCGAAGTTGGTAATACACAATTTGCTGTAGATTGTTAATGGTGTATTGTTAGAAATGCATAGTTGGAAGTATTTTTAATGTACGGCTTGCAGGACATTGAGAAAAAAATGTCATTGAACCGAAAAAATATTTTGTTAATTCGAAGAATTATTATTTCACTCATATAAAGTGGAATAAATTGGATGCAACGGTTCTTCGGAATGATGACGATTTATTTGAGGTTAAATAATTATCCTTCGAAGTAACGAGGCATTTCTTTTGTTCGGTGAATCTTTTTTCTCAGGGTAGTCGAAACTCGAAGATGGGAAACATGAAATTATGAACTCGCCATGAATACCGAGCACGCTATTATCGCGAAACTTAACAATACGTGGCTCTGCATTATCGCGTTTCACGGTTCCTTCAGAAAATATGAAAGGGGACCAAGTTGGGCAACTTTCCGTCGTAAATTCCTGTAGTTAGGTTATGTGCTCCTGGCGGCAAAACCACCTCCAGGAAACTTTGACGACCCTGTACCGATCGACCTGGATACACGAAATCGAATAGGGAGGAAATTCTAAAACCTGGTGGAAATTAATAAAGGAAATCTCCAGTCCGATTCGGTCACCAATTTTCCCTGATTTCAATTTTAGGTTATGGCGATGGCTTTTTGAAACTTCCAAGTCTCATTCCGGGAGAATCCATGAACTTCTGAAAATTAATAGTAAGAACCAAAGGTGCAATTATCGATTGTCTAAAAAATCCGAGAACTCCCATAGAATCGAGTAGAATTAACGATGCTGTAATTACATCCTTTTACAAGAATTTGGAGCCCAAGGCGACCAAAAATGCAATTATTAATTTTTTGAGAAATCCAAGAACGCCGATAAGCCCAAGTAGAATTAACGATGCCATGATTGCATCCCTTTACAAGAATTTCGAGTCCAAGTCGACCAAAAATGCAATTATCCATTTTTAAAGAAATCCAAGAGCGCCCATAAAATCGAGTAAAATTAACGATGCCGTAATTGCATCTTTTTCCAAGAGGATTTCGAGTCCAAGTCGACCACCAGTTTGCCTGGTTCCAGTTCTCCAGGTCAAGGCGGTTCCTTGGAACCGGTGCGATCATAACTCATAAGAAGCCGCGATTCTCCAGAAATGGGCCGAGAGAACCAAAAGAGCAATTCTCTGGCTCACCTTCCAGCAGCGGATCGATCGGCACATTAACACGAGATTTCCATGTCGGTCCATTTCTCTTCAGAAGCCACCGAGCCGGAAGTTGCGGAAGGAGGGCGCGAAATGAGCGAACTCGAAGGAGAGCGATTCGATTCCTCTTCTCAGGGCTCGTAAAAAGAACCCAGGGATCCCACTCGACAGCTTGTCCGTTGACCTTCTTCAAGTTCGACGATCTCCTCCAGCCATCCCGGTTAAAGAAAACTAGACCAAGGTGTTAACACATCCCTAAACCACCTTAACCCATGAATAAAAAAAATTAATCTATTCCATTTTGATTAAATTAGTCACTTTTACTTAATGTCTTTTAACTCGATTGAAATTGATTAACCCCAGGAAAAACGCATCTCCGTAAAAAAAAAAAAATTAGTCCATTTCATTTTGACTAAATTAGTCACTTTTACTTAATGTCTTTTAACTCGATTGAAATTGATTAACCCCAGGAAAAACGCATCTCCGTAAAAAAAAAAAAATTAGTCCATTTCATTTTGACTAAATTAGTCACTTTTACTTAATGCCTTTTAACTCGATTAAGATTGATTAATCCCAGGACAAACGCATCTCGGCAAAAAAAAAAATGAGTATCCCATTTTGATTAAATGAATCAGTCTTACTTAACTAACTCAAGTAAATTTCATTTTTATACAAAATTTCGAAAATGTCTATAAACAAGTATTTTAAAAAATGACATTTCATGGGGGTCAAGACCTTGCCTATAGTCTCCATGTCAACGTTGCTAGGTTTAAAGCCACCTTTCATGAAATTTCCTATTTCATATCATTTTTAAAAAATTGTTACAAACAAATGTAGAAAAAAAATGGAACGTCCTGGGGGTCAGGACCTTCCTTATAGACTTCATGTTCGCGTTGCAAAGTTTGAAACGATTCGGTCACCCCCAGTTCGAAGAAAAGTGTCACCTCCTTGACGCCACTTTCGTATCATCTTAAATCCAAGTAAAGGCGGGAATTAATTATTGTCGCACGTGATATCGAGCTCCCCTTTGTGCGTCAAAGACCAGACCTTGAAGTGCCAACGACAAGGTTGATTTAGCAGAGGAATTCTATGTGGATTCCACATGAATTTCCCGTTTGAACCCGACTCGCCTGTGTCGCGAGTCGCTCGAGTCCGTTCACGATGAGGCCCGACTACGTGACTGATTAATTAACCTCAATGATTAATTCGTACCCACGCGTCACTGTCCAAGCAGTTGCTCTCGAGGAAATTGCAGCGCACAGGGCTAGGAAATTGAACGCCTGGAAGAGCCCCATAAACGAACCGCAGCCCGAGTAGGTTCTAACGCCTAATTTGCAGCTAACAATTCGCAAGGAGCGAGATTGGAGGTAGAGTCACTCGACTCGATGGACTAATTATGGGGAAATGCGACTGCACTGATTATTCGATGCTCGAGAGGGAAATCATTTTCCGGCGGTTCTTGAAGATGGAAAAGCAGGGACTCGGCTCGATGGACTAATTAAAGGAAATGCGAGTGCACTGATTATTCTGCAAAATTAGGAACTCGACTCGATGGACTAATTAGAGTAAACGCGACTCCAGAGAAATGATTTTCTGGTTGTTCTTCAAGGTGGGAAAGTAGAAATTAGATTTCTTGGACCAATCGGAGGAAGTCTGGCTGCACTAATTACTGTATGCTCAAGAGAACATTCCAAAAGCAAGTGGATTTCCCGTCTTCAGAGCTGGTTCATAAAATCCAAGCGTCATCAGATTTACTAATTAAAAAAAAAAATTCGACCGCCTGATCGCTTCTTGTTCAACGTTCAAGTGAAATAAAGGACATGGTTTCCTACTTTCAAACTTAATTCCTAAATACAAAATACAACTTATCATTTGACTAATTAGTGGATACGTTTATGAATATTGTGTAGCGGGGTTTATAAATCCAAGAGCCCACTAATTTGCAGCTAACAATTCGCAAGGAGCGAGATTGGAGGTAGTGTCACTCGACTCGATGGACTAATTAGGGGAAATGCGACTGCACTGATTATTCGATGCTCGAGAGGGAAATCATTTTCCGACAGTTCTTGAAGATGGAAAAGGAGGGACTCGGCTCGATGGACTAATTAAAGGAAATGCGAGTGCACTGATTATTCTGCAAAATTAGGAACTCAACTCGATGGGCTAATTAGAGTAAACGCGACTCCACTAATTATTCGATGCTGAGGAGAGAAATGATTTTCTGGTTGTTCTTGAAGGTGGGAAAGTAGAAATTAGATTTCTAGGACCAATCGGAGGAAGTCTGGCTGCACTAATTACTGTATGCTCAGGAGAACATTCCGAAAGCAAGTGGATTTCCCGTCTTCAGAGCTGATTCTTAAAATCCAAGCGTCATCCGATTTACTAATTAAAAAGAATTCGAAACTAATTTAAAAAATTCGACCGTCTGATCGCTTCTTGCTCAACGTTCAAGTGAAATAAAGGACATGGTTTCCTACTTTCAAACTTAATTCCTAAATACAAAATGCAACGTGTCATTTGACTAATTAGTGGATACGTTTATGAATATTGTCTAGCGGGATTTATAAATCCAAGAGCCCACAGTGTGTGGAACATCGAGCATATCGAAATCATTCAAAATGGCGTCCATGGACGCGACGATGATTAATTGCACCGTCGGATAGTGCATAGAGAGTAGCGATAAATCATTGCAAGCGAATTCCTTCGAACTATCCTCTTTGCATGTAGGTGCATCGAGGGTGCATCCCTACCTTTATGCGAATGATCGATTTTGACAAAACCCGCCCCAAAGCAGCTACCGAATTCGCGTCGCGTCGTTGCCCTCCGATACTCGCGAAAAACTGGGTTTCCACCCAACGAGCAGGGGACAACCTAAGCGGAAACCAAAACGCCCGATTTTGCACCTGAGTTGCATCGATTTAACGTGCTCGTCTATTCCTAAGGCGTACTTAGAACGGCTACCTTGCCGGCTTACATATGTTTCCTTCAACGGCCTAATCGATTGTCGATAACCAACGTCTATGTTATGTTGGGTTCATGGCCGGACACTCCTTCCAGATTCTAATCGCTTTAAGGTGTTACGAAAGGGTCACTCTGTGTACATCAAAGTGTCAAAATGAACTTTCCTCCATAATAGGTGCACCGAATCATTTGAAGCTTTAACGGCGTTCACCACCAAGTGGGGACGATGACTTCCACCGCTAGATGGCATTAGCATCGAATTCGGTGGGAGGTANTGCAAATCCGCGAATGCTTAACCAATGGTAAATTATTCACAAAGTCTTGAAAATTCATCCTCCCGCGTCCTTCCGCAAAACTCCTCGGCGGAATTTAACCACGCGGTAGTAAAACCGGATCGCTCTTGAAAAAGAAAAAGAAAAACGAAAAATAATAAAAACCTGGCTGTATTTATACGCGTCCATGGGAGTGCACTCAAAAATACTTCACAGTAGGAAAAGAAAATCTTCATGAATTTTCGCTGCACAAAAATGCACAAAATAAACGTGTTCCCCTGAAAATGTCCGCAACGTTTGAACATTTGTTCACCGCATAATTTGAATGGCTAAAAACATAAAACTAAGTATCGTTAGTGCCCTGAAAAGAAATTCACCGAACCGAAGAAACATTTCTTTGAATGGTACCAAGGAAATATATTTCGAATTCAAAGAATAATTATTTGACTGGAATATTTGATCGAGAATTCAATTTATTCGATTTTATTTGAGT